CCCCCCCCCCCCCATCTGTGTTGCAAAGTCCCACCAATAATGAAGAGTAGAGCTGCCGGGATTCAAACCCAGACAGTCCACTCAAACTCTCCAAGAGGCCAGAAGGAATACATGGGCCACACATGAGAACAGGAGTCACCAATCGAATGGATTCTGTCTTCAATTTCAACATGCAGACCCTGTCAGACATCAGCTCCCCATTTTTTTGTTTGTTTTATTTTGCTGTCCATTGTTTAATTTTCCCTTCAGCGTGGAGAAGTCCAGAACTCAGTCCCTCCTAACGTTGGCATTTGTTAAGTGAGATTCACCAGTTGCCTCGGGGAAGCTGCCAGTGTAGCATTGCTACTGTTCAGGTCATAAAATAAAATATAATTACTCTTTGTCGTGTGAGTCATTATTTTGGAAACGATAGACTCCCAACCTCTTTCACACATGGATAATCATGACACATGCTCATCACTGGAACATGAAAAGACACTTCTGACTGTAGATATTATTAATTATAAGCCTTTGAATACCCACAGCCCAAACCAGAAACTTGAATGTTGGCCACATACCAGTAGGTAAATGGGAGCTACTATCGCCGTTCTAATTATCTCATTGTCTTGGCCTCAGAGGAATCTTCAGATTCCTGTCCTCTTTGGGATTTTAATCCACCACCACCCATTAATCAATAGCTAATTACCGTCTTTGGCTCTGACCCCTACAATAATTTAATCTAGCCCTTAATGTCTTTTTCTTGATCTTTTATTTCAGGTTCTCACTGCTGCAAGCTGTCACACCCTGTGTCCTCAATTCAAAGGGAGATAGAATCCACAGAAGCTGAGTAGTTCAAAGGTCACAATACCGTGGGGGGCGACCTTACATGGTTCACTCACTCTGCCCCTTTGTGGCTGGACAGCGGCCCTGGAGTGACTCACTTGGGCACCCAGGTGAGTTGAGGGAGAAGGTGTGAGTATGAATCACTAAATCCGGGCAAGCCCAGGGGCCAGCAGAGATTGCTCCTCAGTAGGAAAACACTCTCCCTTCCAAAGGGCCTGGAAACAAGTTCAGGGATGCAGAGCTGGGCTGCGGTGGCGGGAGGAGAGCTATGGCTCACATCCTAGGGTTAGGAAGTCAGAACGGTCTTTATGGCTGATCTTGACCCTGACACAAACTGGCTTATCTAGAGAGTCCCCAAGAGTCTATGCCATTGTGGGATCTATGTTATAGATTAAACAAATGATCAAGAATTGGTGATGGAAGGGAGGAGCTTGCAATGTGGTTGGAATACACCAGAAGGAATAAGCTAATACTGACTATGGCTTTTACCCAGGACACTGTGCAGGAATTAATGGCCATCCCATGGGATTCACAGCGTGGTTTTGTTTAGGGATGAAATGTGTAAAGAGGAAGGAAGTGGGTTTTTTGTTGTTGTTGTTAATCCTCACCCAAGGATATTTTCCCATTGATTTTTAGAGAGTGGAAGGGAGAGGTAGAGAGGGAGAAGGAGAGGGAGAGGGAGAGGGAGAGGGAGAGGGAGAGGGAGAGGGAGAGGGAGAGGGAGAGAGAGAGAGAGAGAGAGAGAGAGAGAGAGAGAAACATGGATATGAGAGAGAGACACATCAGTTGGTTGCTTCCCTTAACTCACCTTGACCAGGGCCAAGGATCGAGTCTGCAACCCAGGTACATGCCCTTGACAGGAATCAAACCCAGGACCCTTCAGTCCGCAGGCCAATGCTCTATCCACTGAGCCAAACCAGTTAGAACAGAAGTGTTATTTTATGCTTCCATTTGGAAGCAATGAAGGAGATCCAGATTAATCAAATTTTTAAATGAACAAAGTTTCCACAATTCGGGTCTAATACTTTGGCCTCACAGCTGGGATATGTAAGTAGAGTTACACATCACTGCTGGTCTTTAAGACAAATTGGCACAGAGCTTGGGAAAGAGGACAAAAAAACGTTGTGTTTGGGGGTTTTCTGTGGTTTGTTTGCAATAGCCAATGACTGGCTCAGTCTAGGATAATTTTTTAGTGCACCCACTAAGGACTCTCGAAGCATTTCTTTCCAACAATAAATAACCCTCAGGCTAGAAAATGCTGCCGGGTGTCCCCCAACGCTACCTACAAACGCACGGGTAGCTTTACAAAAGGCTCCCCCTTTAAGGTTATGGACCATGACAGGCCTATTTCAAAGGAGAAGGGTAGAAACAGGCTCACAGAAGGAGAACAGGGAGCCATTGAAAAAAATAAAACTAAAAAGACTACCACCCACCACGAAAGCTGAGGCAGGAATCTTTCTCTATTCTAGACCCTTCGGGGGGAGAATTCAAGCTAGTTCCAAATTTAGAGGCAATATCCAAGAATGTTTTGCTTTCCCAAACTGGTTTGAGGTGACTCTAAATGGCTCTGAGTTGATTTCACATTTTGTTTTTAATTGTATTTCTTTCAATATTAGCCTACACTAATCTCTTTAGGAAGACACTGTTGAAGGGAATGAGTGCTAATGGGATGTAGATCTTCTGAGGTTAAAAGGAATGTTCTTTGTCTCTAAACAATGCCTGAGAGCTCAGCCACCATCCCCAACACTTTCTACCCATTGTCACCCCCTTGGCCCCTCCAGGGATGAAACACTGGTGCGGTCAGGGGTCTCCAGGGGTGGGGAAGGGGGGAGCTGGGGGAGACACAATTAGCCTTTATTACAGCCCAGCGGGAGAGTAATTGTTGAATACAGCAGTACTGAAGTTTAGACAAGTTCAATAGCTCCCCTAAAGTCACACAAGGACCCACAATCAAAGCAACAATGATAGTAGTTAATGTTTACCATGTGCTAAACACTTTACATGCATTGTCTTATTTCATTCCCAAAGCAACTCTTAGGAGGTAAATGCTATTTCTAATCCCATGGTACACAGAACGAGATTGAAATTTGGAGAGATTAAGTAATTGGCCTGCCTTCACAGAGCTGGCAACATGGTGAGGAATGATTACGTGTTCATTCATAAATAGTTATGGAACACCTACTGTGTGCCCACACTGTGCTGGGTGTGGGGAGAAATTGTTACGATCAAGGTGGTAGATAAGGTCCTAGCCTGTGGACTGTGGAAGAACAGAGAAGACCAGTGCTTACACTCTGTTATTTTACAAACACTTCGAGTGTTTCCTATGTGGCAGGAGAGTTGCAGCTCTGAGAACTGCTGAAGACCCCCTCCAACCTTCCCCCCCCCCACCCCTGCCACCCCCAAAATGAATCAAGGTCAGAGCTCAGGAAATGCTGGTAGAGGAACAAAGGAAAAGTCCTCATCAGAGGGATGGAGGGAAGCTAGGAGAACGTGGTGACCCAAGGGAGGAAGCCCTTCTATCAGAGGTGTCAAAGGCAGCAAGAAGTG